GACCTAGTGACTAAGGAGAGGATTTGAGGCAAAAATGCTCACTCAAATTCATATAATCCAAAGTATTTACATGATGCATAGCCTAGGGTATTTATAGGAGTGGGAGGCATCTAGGGTTGCATTTGGAGAGTGCATGGACGAAATTCACAAGCCAAATGCACACCAAATGAAATGCAAATGAACCCTAGATGCAACTTGGTGGCCAAGGATGGAATCTTTGGGATTAGTTAGGCTACATCTAGGTGCATGATAAGACCATGCAACCTTTGCCCTCCACTTGGGCCTAAGCCTTTCTAACACCAAAAATAGGTCCAAGAGCCACAAAAAATATGTCTAGGTTTTGTTCCCACCCTAATCAAATACCTTAGCCCAAAAATAAAAACCTATGATCTAAAGCACCCCATAATACAAGGGTAAAATGGGAAATATAAAAGAAAATAAATCCTATGACTAAAATACCCCAAAATACAAGGGTAAAATTGGAAATACAAGTAAAATAGATCCTATGTCTAAGATACCCCAAAATACAAGGGTAAAAATGGAAAATCAAAGACAAGGGCAAAATAGGCATAAAGATAAATTCTAGGCTATCAAAGCTTAAGAGAGTGATTAGTGTATTTTAATCTTGAGAAATATGTCTTCTAGGTTTTTGACTTCCCTATCATCTTCCAATCTCCTAGCCATTGGCCTAGTGATGGGTCCCACATGAAGCTCCATAGATGGTCCTCCATCACCACTCCTCTTGGATCTTTTAGTGTGTCACCTCTTGCATTCCAAAGTATGATTCCATCAATGCTTGTGTCAGAAAAAGTACATCAAGTTCTCAATCAAGGACAACATTCTACTAGCTATGTGACTAGGAAAAGACAAAAAGGTTCCTAGGTCTCTGCTATATCTAGACACAACTGTTATCACAAGAAGCAACATTTAATGCAAGAATTTGAGCATTAAATGACAAGATCAAAAGGGTCGTGAACGACTATGTCTGCTTCATCGGACACTTGCAACGGGAAAATTTCACAAGACTATATATAGATCTTAACATAAAACCTAAAGAGGTTGGCTGTTTAACCCAAATGGTGCAAGCATGAAGAGGAATTATATTCAGCCCATGAAGTAACAAAAGCAGAGATAGAGCATGGAGAGTCAAATGTACCTTAGTGTAATTCTCTTTGTAGGACTAAGGTAGTGAAACCTTAGAGAGTGTATATTCTATATGTATCCTCTCTGTGAGAGTAAACTATACACTCGAACCAAACTTGTCTAGCCAATACATTGTAGAGCCTGAAGAGGCTAGGAAAAGAATACTTGTAAAGCCCGGAGGGGCTTGTCAAAGAATACTCACTGCTAGCCAGAAGTGTCTGATACGAAAATACTAGCATTGGTGAGTGAAGCTAACGGGCCAGGAGTGGTTGAGAATACTTGGAGAACCAGAAGTGGTTGAAGAATACTAGCATTGGTGAGTGAAGCTAACAGGCCAGGAGTGGTCGAGAATACTTAGGGCTAGGAGTGGTCGAGAATAATCAGGTTCAAGAGTGGACGATAATACTCAATGTTCTTCATTTTGATATCTAGTGGAACCCTTCAATGGTTTCTAATGATGTAAATACTGATGTTCATACCTTGAATAATTCTAGAACTAGTTCTCAGGCCTTATGGCATGCTAGACTAGGACATCCAAATTTTCATGTTCAGAAAATTGTTCTCAAACAATGTAATGTTCCTATTTTGAATAATAATGATCAGTTCTTTTGTGCTGCTTGTTGTATTGGAAAAGCTCATCGTTTGCCTTCTTCTTTGTCTGAATCTGTCTATAATACTCCTCTGGAATTAGTGTACAGTGACTTGTGGGGACCAGCCCCTATACAGTCTTCAAATAACTACAAATATTATCTAAGTTTTGTTGATGCTCATTCTCGATTCACCTGGTTATATTTTCTGCAAAATAAGAGTGACACATTTACTGTCTTTAAACAGTTTAAAGCCATGGTAGAATTACAGTTTAATACTCCTCTTAAAAATCTTCAAACTGACTGGGGAGGTGAATTTAGACCCTTTACCAAATACTTGAAAGATCTCGGGATTAATCATAGACTCATTTGCCCTCATACTCATCATCAAAATGGGGTTATTGAAAGAAAACACAGGCATATTGTAGAACTTGGCTTAACATTGCTCAGTCATGCTTCTCTGCCTTTAAAATTTTGGGACTCAGCCTTCACTACTGCTGTTTATCTTATAAACAGATTACCAACTACCTCTCTCAAGTTTGATGTCCCTTATAATGTTTTGTTCAAACAGATGCCCGATTACAAATTTCTAAAGACTTTTGGTTGTGCTTGTTTTCCCCTTCTTCGACCTTATAACAATCACAAACTAAACTTTAGGTCTCATGAGTGTTTTTCTAGGATATTCCACCTCTCACAAAGGTTATAAATGTCTTTCTCCAACAGGAAGGATCTTCATATCCAAAGATGTTTTCAATGAATATAAATTTCCTTATTATGATCTATTTCCCAATAATGTCAATCCACCATTACATTCAGTAGACTCCTTTCAACATGTTTCTTCAGCCTCAATCCCTGTCCTAAAAACACTGTCTCCACAATCTGCTGTACACAATTCTGGTATTCCTGCTGTCACGGATAATTCCAATCATGATCCCAGTCCAGATTCTAGACTCAACCCTTCTCCCATCACAATTTTGTCTAACAACACTAGTTCTCTTGTATCTCCCATTAATACAGAATCTTCTTTACCTCTCACATCTCAAAATGTTCATCCTATGCAAACTAGATCTAAATCTGGTATTTCAAAACCCAAATTACATTCTTCTATCTTTCTCATTGAGTCTGAACCAAAGAGTGCTAGGCAAGCCTTCAAGGATCCTAAGTGGTTAGCTGCTATGCAACAAGAATATAATGCCTTGATTAACAATAACACATGGACACTTGTTAATCTTCCACAAAACAGGAAAGCTATAGGCTGCAAGTGGGTTTTTAGAATTAAAGAAAATCCTAATGGTATTGTGAACCGGTACAAAGCCAGATTGGTGGCTAAAGGATTCCATCAACAACCAGGATTTGATTTCATGAAACATTCTCTCCTGTCATTAAACTCTGCTGCAGTTTGGGTTCAAAGCTAGCAAATGTGATCCTTCTCTTTTCATTTATCACATAAATAACAATATTGTCTATCTTTTGGTCTATGTAGATGATATTATTATCACTGGAAGTTCATCTCAGTTTACTCAACACCTCATATGTCAACTCAATGCTATATTTTCTCTAAAACATCTTGGCAAGTTGGATTATTTTTTGGGAATAGAGGTCAAACACCAGCCAAATGGTTCTATAGTTCTCACACAGAGCAAGTATATCCGTGACCTTCTTCAGAAAACTAACATGCTTGAAGCCAAACCAATTTCAACACCTATGGTTTCTACTTCCAAGCTGTCTAAGCATGGGTCTGATACATTGACTGATTCTACATTCTACAGGTCAGTTGTTGGAGCACTACAATATGCTACAATAACCCGCCCTGAAATAAGTTTTGCTGTCAATAAAGTCTGTCAGTTTATGGCAAGTCCTCTTGAGAGTCATTGGAATGCAGTAAAAAGGATTTTAAGGTATCTTAAAGGTACATTATATCATGGGTTACACATTCAGGCTGCTGGGTCTCATCAAAAGTTTCAGCTACATGCATTCTGTGGTGCTGATTGGGCTGCTGATAAGATCAACGTCTGGTGCAGCTATCTTTTTTGGACCTAATCTAATCTCGTGGTGGTCTAGAAAACAACCTGTAGTTGCCAGATCAAGTACTGAGGCTGAATATCAAAGCCTTGCTCAAGCAACTGCTGAAGTGCTATGGATTGAAACTCTTCTTCATGAATTGGGAATTCCTTTCTTTGTTCCAGTTGTCTACTGTGACAATCAAAGCACAGTTTCTCTGGCTCATAATCCTGTTCTTCATTCTAGGACAAAACATATGGAAATCAATCTGTTTTTTGTTCGAGAAAAGGTTCTTGCCAAGCAACTCAGTGTTCAACATATTCCAGCTCAAGATCAGTGGGCTGATGCTCTCACAAAACCTTTGTCATCTGCCCGGTTTTTACTTTTGCAAGACAAACTCAAAGTTGTTGAGCTATCATCTGCTGCTCACCCAACTTAGGTTTGTGAGGGGGTATGTGAGTGAACTGTAAAGAGAGCAGTTGCAAAACTGACTCTCGGGTGGCTAGTCTGTTATAGGTGTATTTGTCCTATAAATAAGTGGCTTTGCTCCACTAAATCAATATCAAGAATCAGTTATATTTTCATAAAGTTTTCTGTTTCTCTCCTTCCTCTCTGTTATTCAACACTACTACATTAACTTTGTTCATTTTAGTAATTTTTGTCAAAGCTACACAATGTAATCTGAGAGTCCATTGGAAAATACTATTATTTTATTCTTTTCTTTCTTTCTTCAAAATTTTCTTATTTATATCATCAAATTATTTTTTGTGCTGATTTCATTTTCTGCAGACCATAGCTTTATATAAATATTTGTAACCTTATGTTGATGGTTAATGATTTATTATATTTTTATATTTTATGCACTTTTTTTTGTGCTTTTTTTAGTTAAAGTTTGCTGTGCTTTTCTTTGATTATGGTGAGCCAACCTGATTAACTGACCTATGGTGGGTTGAGTCAGGTTGGATAAATTTTGGTTCATTACTAAAGTGAGCGGCCAACCTGTGTGGACTGGATTTTTTTTACAACCTGTGGTGAGTCAACCTAGCTAATAACTCTATTTGGCATTAGGTTCCAGGGGAAGCAGAGCGAGAGCAGGGAATGATGAATAACTGCTTGATTGTGCACATCCCAGACAAGGAGCCACATGACCTTCACCATCAACCGACTGGTCACATTATCTAAACCCATTAGTTGATCCTTTGGTTTCTTTTTGGAATTCACTGAATTGAAACAGTCACTTTGTTTATGTGCAGAGTGTGTTTTTGCTTCGGCCATTGATCCTAAGCATGCCAACCAAATTGTGAGGTTAGCTCCCTACCAAAATCTCTATGCCTTGCTTCAGTTTTTTGTGCCTTATGAACTAATCTATGGAAGTTGCTTGAATTTCTTGTTAGGTGCTTGAATCAGATAGCACCGCTTGAAGATCTCCGGCATGTGAAACGAATTCAGAAGAAGGTTCTTGAAGAAGGTAGTTGGATATCATTGCCAAAAAAAAATCATATGCAAGCAGAATGTCTTTTCCTTTTCTTACTTTTAAGAGAATGAAAAATTAGAGCGGTTTTCTTGAGCTTAAAGAAAGTCATTTTGTGATTTATAGTTTTCTTATGAAGTTATGAACTTTTACTTTTTTTTTTATAAATTTTTAAAATGCATTTGTTATTAAAAATACTTTTTAAAAATAAATAAACTCATACAAACTGCTTTAGACACAAAAATATTAAATATGTCTATTTTTAGTGAGCAAACACTTTTCTGGCACAATAGGATTGACTGTGCTGACACTATACAAGACCATTTAAAACAAATGGTTATAAAGTGAGGGGTACTTTAAAAGAATAAAGTGTAGCTTTATATTTTATAATCATGTTTAACAAATTCACAATTTTTTAAACATGATTATGTAACTAAATATTTTATCACAATTTCTACTGTTGATGATTATAAATCTGCGTTACCCTCTAAAGTGCACCTCTTACTTCTAAGAAGCAATATCCTAACAGAAATGCACAAACTCTCCCAACTAGGTGTTACGGTGACAACATAAAGAGAAAAGAATCTTGACTGTAAAACATATGTTGAAATATGTGTCTCCTACAAAATCCATGGACCGTGAAAAACCAAAATTATCAACTGCTGTGGAATTTTGTCAATGGTGTAAACTGTATTGAATGGATATATAAATGAATAAGGCATGATTTAATTAACACAAAGCATTTTAGATTCTTGCACATAGAGCTAGGTCTTGTTTTCTATCTCCAGAACATAAAGGGGAATGTTTACTTGCAGATGACATATAGTATCCTTATGCGCTTATTTGTATAAGCTTACTGTTATATTGCTTTATTCTGTGTTAATATGAGATATGGCTTGTTGACCAAATCATTTGCTAATGACACGGGGATTGTTTGACAGGACAAATACAGCTATTGGTGATCTTGTGTCTGGCCTCTGAAGGCAACAATCAATTGGATAGTATGCCACCTCATCTTCAGGAGTTGATCAGTTCCTATCAGTTGAGTCCTTTTATCACAAAAGTGGGTCTTTGTTTATTTTGGTATTTCATTTTACTTTAGTTAATGCACTCTTAGATTATGGTTTGATCACGGGAAGAAAATATAAGATGAAAAATATATGACGAATGTATCATATATTTAGATTTATATAAATTTATAAATAATTATGACAAGATTTGACTTGTTTTGGTTTGGTTGTTGTGATTGTGTGTGATGAAACTTCAAAGCTATCTGATATTTATAGCAGTGTGGATGGTCAGTAACTTGCCATTTACATGAAAATAATTCCATGTATTAATTCATAGGACTATATATATCATTAAAAAAAATTATCTTTTCCATTAGGCAAAATCTAATATTGATGCTAAGTGTGGTACCCAGAAATTATTTATATACTCTAAAAGCAATTTTACTTTACCAACCAAATAAAACCAATTCTGCTCAACTCACTTTTGAAATATCATTACCCATACACAAATAAATGTTTTTAAAATCAATCCTTCCAATATCACTTTTACCATAACCTGAAACCAAAAAGAGGTTAAATGATCTATTTAAAAGAAACGGCAAACCTTTAATGTTGGAAATCATTAGTCTATATGTGAATGGAATGGAGTTTAGTTTTCTGTGTTGATAAAATGATGTGTGTAAAAAGCTCTGGGACTATGTTTGTTAAATAGTCATCCATTTAAAGATCCACTATCAATGAAGACTAAGATTATTGTTTAATTTATTCTGGTGAGTTTTGGTTGGAATCCTCAGGACTCTTGGTCTTCAGGCCTTGTCGTGTTTGCATTAGTTAGTGCATGTATTAAATTTGAATATAATTTTAGGTCTGCAAATATGCTGCAACATCTAAAGAAGAGTGGCAAGAGCAATGCAAATTTTGGCCAACATCATACCACCCAAGGACTTAGTAAGTTTCATTTTACTATTCTTTTATTTCTTTACCTGTTTTTATTATTTGCAATGTCTTTCATTGCTTTCTTTTATCAAAATTCACAAACTGTTGGTTCCGCTTAAGTATAAGAAAGTCAAGTATCTATATGAAATCTTTTATCAGGTGAATTAAGCAATGCTTATTAAAATAACATGTACTGTTACATGAGATTTTAAGGAATACATCCTTCAACTTGATGAGATGATTTGCAATATGCTCAAACACTTAAGGAGGCGTATTGGATTGAGATTTCGAAAGATAATTTTAGTATGAAAAAAGTCTTCTAAATTTTAATGGATTTTAAAAGACTTTGTAGCAATATCATGACTTTTAGGATTGTTTTTAAAATACTTTTAAAACTTGGATTTTAATTAAGATTTTGTAATTCATATTTTAATGGATTTTGTGATTCAGATTTTAATGAATTTTGACGGATTTATATGATAAGATTCAAAATTTTATATTTCAATTTTAAATTTTATTAAAAATAAACATATGAATTTTAATAATTTAAAAATTTTAACAATAGATAATATTTAATAATACAAAAATCATTTTAAATATTTAATAATTAAAAAAAATATTGATAAATTATACATCTAAAAAAAGGATAGGAGAAGAAGAAGAGATAAATAAGAGATGAATAAAAAGAGAGAGAAAAGAGATAGAGAAGAAAGAGAGAGAGAGAAAGAGAAGCAAGAAAGGTGAGATTGAAGGAGAGAGTAAAAAAAATATAAGATGATGAAGAAGAAGAGATAAATCAGAGATGAATAAAAAAAAAGAGAGAAAATGAGATAGAGAAGAAAAGAAGAGAGAGAAGCAAGAATGGCGAAAGAGAAGGAGAGAGAAAAAAGAATATAAGAGAAAGAAGCAAAAAAGGCAAGAGAAAAGATTTAAGAGAGAGAAAAAAGAAAGAGTATAAATAGAAGGGGGGAAAAAGTCATGTGAAATCTCAAAAAATTTTGTGAGATTGTTTGATAAGTTAATTACATATAAATTATACTGAAAAGTCTCACAAAATCCATTATTCAAAATAATCCATTAAAATATCTATATTTTTTAATATTAACAAACTTTTTTTAAGTAAAAAAGTCTTAATTGAATATCATCATATTTTAACAGACTCCTAAAAAAATTTAGATTGTCTTAATTAAATACCATCAGATTTTGACTACTCTTAAAAAATTCTGATTGTCTTGATTGAATACTACAAGACTTTTTTATAATAAAAAAGTCTTTTAAAATTCATTGAAACCCTTATTCAATATACCGCCCTTAATATACAAGATATATCTATAAGTTACACAAGTTAGCTTGATATATAGTAGTTATAATCACTAGTGCATCCTGGATAAAAAAAACAATAAAATGACACAAGCACCCTTGTGTTTATAATATCCATTGTGTAATTATTATTCTGTTTTCATATATACCTAGGCTTGTTTACATTTTTATGATATTTCGTGTAAGTATAGTATCTGATGAATCAGTCTAATCATTGTATATTCTTTTTTCTGTGGGTAAAAGCTGGGTAATCTTAATTCTTGACTCGGAAAGGGTCAACGTGGATTGTTGAAATTTTGGACTTGGTAGGTATTGTAGGAAGTATTGTGAATTTTTAGGACCCTCTGGTGCATTGAGTTATTCTAGTTTTATCATCAAACTCTTACCAAACACAAACACTGAAAACACGTGGTTGATAACATAGGTAGGTGAAATTTTGTTGATAACATAGGTTGTATATATCTAAAATCTCAACATTTTATTTGGTTTCTATTTTGTCAATAATCTTATTGGATGAGAACACAACCTTGTCTTTTATGGTAAATTGGTAATAGCTGACTTTGCTTCTTGGCTTGACATTTTTAATCAAATAACAGCAACATTGATGGCATTACTGGATTTAGCGAGGAGGACTCACGATCAGTTTTGAAGTTTATGCAATCAGCTGTAGAGTTGGCAACATCTGACGGCTTGGTAAATGTGCAAAATTTTCCTTTTTGAAACTATTTGTGCCCATGAAATAATGCATCCATAACTGATTGGACAAGCTTAACATCGTTTGCTTTTCTTCTTCTGATTAGTTTTCACTTAATATGTAATAGCTTGAGGTTTTTTTAATTTGGTCCTTCTTTCCTTTGCTTAATTAGTAAAGACTAGCTTTGTTTAAAATGTCCTACTAGTAAATTTCACATTCAGCTGCTGCATACTAAATTTGATGTATTTTAGGTAGTCAACGCTGCAGTGATAGTGGATCCTTCAACTAAGCAAATAATTTCAACTGCATGTGATCAGATTTTTGCTTGGAACACATGCAAAGACGACAGCTGCTATAGAAAGCCAGAATTATGTAGTTCCCGTACTATTATTTATAGTAAATGTGATCCCCATGAAAAATTGCATTCAAACAGTCCCTCCAATCAGCTTAAACAACCATATACAGGTGTTGCTTGTTTATATCCTCGGCAATGGGCTGAGCAAAAATCTCATCCACAGAGTTCATATTATTGGCACCCTCTGCAACATGCTGCCATGGTAGCTATAGAATCATCTGCTGCCAGGGATAGATGCCTTTTTCCCAGAGAGGAGAACAGTGAAGCCAAATATCTGGAATTGGATAGCGAGAATTCTTCTTGGACTAGCTCTCCTGCAAAGAGACAGAAAACTGCGTGTGCAAATGTAAGTTTACGTAAGCCTGATAATGATATTAGGTCTATTTAAGGAACTTGGGTGGTGTATAATTTAATGATCAGTTGCCGCTGCCCATCTGTATGAAGTGTTAACCATGTCACTCCAATAGAAGTATTAAGAACACCTTAAACTCCTGGTGTTGCTTTTATAGTTGCAATTCAAGTAATGGCAATTACTTGTTCATATCTAGAACTAATGAAGCATCTCACAAACTCGCACCAAATTCATTAATTCAACATTGGCAATATAGAAACATATGCAATGGCATTTCTCTGGATTATCTGTTGATCATTCTCAGTTGAATATATTTTGAGAATAGCTATAATTTTTTGGTTGGATTATGGTGTTTCAGGGTGAGGATGTCGAGAAATTGAATGCTCACGGTCAGGGTGATCATTCTCAGACTTCTGATCAGCCACCAACACGACCGTACTTATGCACTGGTTATGACATATATCTTATTTGGGAACCATGCCCAATGTAAGCTTATAGACAAGATAGTTGTATAACTTAGAATCATTTCTATTTCTTTGCTGAATTCCTTTGAAGTCGAAACTGGCCTTGTTTGCTCATCCATGAAGGGAATATCAGGAGAAAAGGCTAGCAATAGCATTCTGATTCTCCTTTCTTTTTGAATGCCATGTACCTGTGAAGGAAATTCCCTTCTTGATTCATAGAATAGGAGAAAATCTTTAATTCTGATTCTCCCTTTATATGAAGTTTTACTTTTGGTTAGGTTTTTTCCAAAGTAGTTGTTTTCTGATATATTTGCCTAATTTTGCTTTCCACTGTGATGTCAGGTGTGCAATGGCCCTCGTCCATCAGAGAATTAGGCGAATATTTTATGCGTTTCCAAATCCTAAAGCCGGTGCCTTGGGTAGTGTTCACAGATTACAAGGAGAGAAAAGCTTAAATCATCATTATGCTGTATTCAGGGTTTTGTTACCTGAAGAAGTCCTGCATAAGTGTCATACTTAAGTTGCAGAGCCAGAGACTATTTATTAGTGAATTTTGAATGGTAATTTGCGAATTGTTAGAACGACTTTCTGATATTACTTGATTGAGAAAGGCTAACTATACTCTCATACATCATTAATATATCATTTGTCATTAGTTGAAATTTGTTAGAAATTACCAAATTGTGAGTCTTACTCTTTATTTATTGAATCTCACTCACAAGTCACAATTTGTATTTTTCAAAAAATTTAACCAATAAAAAACATGTATTAGAATTTAGAAGGAATGTGTTAAAAGCAGTGTTGTAAAACTCGGCTCGACCCGGCCGGTCGAACCGGTCGAACCGGAAACCGGTAGTTAGACCGAGCCGAACCAGTGATCAGATCGGATATGCAGCTGATTCGGTATGTGACTCGGTTTGACCCGGTTAAAAACCCGGTTGAACCAGCGACTCGCGGGTCATGACCCAAATCGGGTCATCAGTTTTTTTGAAAAAAAAAAATTTAAACGACGTCGTTTTTTAAAACGCCTCTGCTCGTTGCACGCTGCCTCCTCCTTTAGAAACCCTAAGGTTATTTTTTTCAGATTGATTTTGAGAAACAAATCCTGCTCGTCGCACGTTGCTTCTCTGCACGCACCACCGCACTGCCACAGTTGCACCGCTGCACCGCTGCACTACGATAGTCGCACCACCGCACCGTCGCACTACCGCATTGCCGCATCGCTACACTGCCACCTCGTCGCACCACCGCGCGTTGCTTCAGGTTATAAGTTGTGCGATTTTTTGATTGTTTAAAATATTGGTAGCATTTTTTGATTTTTTGATTACGGCTACTTGAACATTATTTTATTCAAACTTGGGTTTTGGATCATCTCGTTGCCAAAAATTATAGTTAAACCAACTCTGAATCTCCACAATCGCCATTTTTGATTTGCCAAAAATTATAGTTATATAGCTAGTAGTAGGGGTGGGTATATGGACTCGAGTCCGCGGACCGGTCCGTAAGTCCGCGGACTTCACGGATAACGGACTCAATTTTTTTAATCCGTATAATCATATGGACTTTTTAGGTCCGGCCCGTTAAGTCTGCGAATTTTGCGGATTTAATCCGCGAGCCCGCGGATTACCCGTTTAAATGTGGAACTTTAAATTTGTTTGGTTGTGTATTAAGACTTTTAAAGTTTTAAGGTAGTAAGGCTTTAATATTTGGTTAATAGTTGGTATGCTTGGACTTTAAATTTTAAAGGCATTGAGACTTAAATATTTCTATTAGAAATTTAGAATGTATAAACTTTGTTATTTAAGACTTTGGTTTATTATTTATATAATGTTTGATGTTACTATTAGAAGTATATTTATATCATTTTATATGTATTTTTTTTCCTCATGTTTTCATAGGTTAAATAAAGAAAAAGAAATTCAAAATCTCATTAAATGTGTCAATATTCATTAAAAAAATTTAGATTTAATTGGGCCCGCGGACTTATCCGTTTATCCGCGGGTTTCACGGGCCGGATACGGACTTGAAAATTTAAGTCCATTTATTTCGCGGACCGGATTTATCCGGCCCGTTAAAAATGCGGATTTCGCGGACCGGGCCTTAAACGGGCCGGACCGGTCCGCATACCCACCCCTATCTATCTTAATGTATTGAAGATTGCTTGGTTCTTTCAATTTTTCATATATTTCGGATATGTTTAATTTATCCTATACAATTATTTATTTTATGAAATGAAATGAGCTTGTCTAGTATTCTCTTGAATTGACATATATGTTTATATATTTTTTATTCAAGGAAAAATGTTATCTTTGTCTTCACAGTTCACACATTTCAAGTCAAATTTTACGCTCTGCTCACCATTCAAACTAGAAAAGAAAGCCGAAAATAATGGGAAGATGGACACCGCATGTGATATGATCATGGATTAGAAACCGTGACGCCATCACGCACCTTTCACTAGAGAAGAGACCCTTCGAAACAACCTCGTCATCAGGATAACATTGGGGCCACAAAAGATGGCTCGTCCCACGTTAAATTTGTATTGATCTTAGGGGTTATCACACTTTAGAGTCAGCTACGAAAAAATATAATACAACTAATTCTTGAAAAGTACATACAATATTATATATATATTAATTTAAAAACTAAAAATATAGACTTAGTCATTGAAGTAATACTATAAAATATCTATAAAGGTAAGACCAAATTACATCATCATATAATATAATTCTCAACTTGACATCCTCTTTTGACCTATTATAAGGTTTCTCCCATATAAATATAATCATCCTAATCAACCTTAGAGAAATATTCATGAGTATACTAATATTAAAAAATAATTAGCATAATAAATATAAAAGTAAAAATAACTACACTACTAACAATAACATGTAAGTACATGATACAACTTACCGTGGTATATATTCAACTTTAGCAACACAACAATAACAACACTGAAACATGGTATTCAACGACCTTTTAAAAAGGTAAACAACTTAATCATATAACAAAAATTTCATCTTCACCATAATAATGCAATTCATCAACAATTCAACGTAGCATATGAATAACATCACAATTCAATACAATATATGCATAAAATCACAAATACATGCATTGTCACACATTCAACTAAAAAATCTCTTATAATACGAGTAAATAGTCTAAGTATTTGACCCTATCAAATCAACAACAATGCAATCTTTTCAATATCACCAACCAATTTTGGGATATAAATCCACAAAAACATGGTTTCTTAGATTTTGTCATTTGAACTAAAAAAGGCTAGTAGTCTTATTAGAGTAGGACAACTTAGGTGTGGATTTATTATGGCATTAACATGCATGACTAAGTTTCTTATGGAATTAGCTCATCAACTACCTCCAAATGTTATGCCTCTTCAAGTACTTAGTTAGGGATTTTGATCTCGAATCTTGTACTTACTTGGTTTGGTCACTTTGTACATGTATGGCTCAACCTGATCCACATAGGAATCAATATTGGTCCCTTATAATCAGTATAGTTCGATATGTCGCCTATAATGTGGTCACTTATAGACAGTACAACTCGACCTTGCCTTCATACCGCATCAACTACGGTTCTAGAAAAAACTGATCAAGTATCCATTTCAAGAGTCAACATCTCAAAAAAGGCTTTCAACAAAATAGACTCGTGGAGTACCACAACACAATATCCTCATAATGGAATATTCAACTTAAAAACATCTTTTTTAGTCCAAAGTCAATCAACACAACACAACTCAATGCCTTAAGCATTATCAACACCATCACCTCAACATGCAACTTATTCATCTATATACATTATCCCAAATCAAGGTACATAAAACCAACATCCTACATCAACAAAAAATTTTAACAACTTAATCATCAATGTACAAAGAAATAACACTGTCGCAACCGAAATTGCAACGGGACGGCAAAAAATAAATTAAAAAATAAGGAGCCGCCGCCAATGTTCACTAGTGGAAAATTAGTATATTACGTCACCTCTTTAACGTCGAAAACACTAAAATCCGACGTAACAAAAACGCGGTGGCATTTTTGTAATTTTCGCGAACTTTTATACGTCGGACCTGGTATGGTCTGACGTAAAATGTCAAATCTACGTCGGACGTATGTTGTGTCCGACATAGATTTGACATTTTACGTCGGACCCTACCAGGTCCGACGTAAAAAAAGGACGCGAATTTGAATGTGCGAGGCACTCCGCGCGCATTCACTCTTCATCACTTTTCATTTTTTTCTCTGTAAACCCTCTCCCTCTCCTTTGTTACTGAATCATTTTTTTGTCTTTTGCAGAGTGGGGTGAACTCTTTGTTATTCATTCGCATACTGTTGCAGCTCATCAGGTATGAATCAAGGTTTCGTTAACACCTTTTTGCTTCGCATTGCTATTGTGGCTATCTGTTCTATTCGGTTTTTTGGTTGTTCTATTTGTATAGGTCGTTGGCCTTTTCTTTTGGGTTGTTCTACGAAGCAGAACGGGTCGTTCTGCTTGCAGAATGACTCGTTCTCCTTGCAGCACGGGGCATTTTGAATGGAGAACGGGCCGTTCTACAAGTAGAACAGGTCGTTCTGCAAGCAGAACAGGCCGTTCTGCTTTCATTCGTTATGTTTTTTTTGTTTTTTTTACTACTTTTTTACGTCGGACCTTGGTAATATCTGACGTAAATTTACGTCGGTTTTACAGGGCCGACGTGGATTTACGTCTCCCGCATTAACATCGGTATTTTTTCTGACGTAAAAAGCTCAAAATAACCGACGTGGAATACCTCTTTTGTACTAGTGGTTATTTTTTACGGAAAAATATTGGAAAAACCATAAAGTAGAAAATAGTCTACGAAAACTAAATTTTTGAGTTCGAGAGTCGATTACGTGTGAGGAAGGTATTAGCACCTCACAACGTTCATCCTAAGACGATTACCTTTAATTCATTAAACAAATTATTTATAAAATATTTATCTCACCCTAGATTAATTAAATTAACTGTAACAAACAAATGTATTTTATTTAACTAATGCATTTATCAAAAATATAATATTATTATTTTTTGGCTCGACAAGATTTATTTCCTGCTCCTACATATCTCCATATGCAATGGAGAATTAGAGTCACGTAGTTCTTTGTAGAAAATATTTGTGTGTTAATATTTTTTAATTAAATTTTATTTTTGTTAAATATAGGATTCTTGAACTGTCTCAGCTCATTCACCCTAAAAATATAAAATTGACTAAGGTGTACACCAAAGTCAATTTAATAAAATTTTAATTATAATTATTGCTATAGATATTATTATCTTAAAAGATTTTTTGGTTGGACATTTTTGTTTTTGGAGAAAAAATTTAAAGATATCAAGTAATCACAACTTGTATTTTAAATTCAAAGGTTAAAAAGATATCACATCTAATTAACCATTCCTCTAATAAATTTTTTGATACGATACTTCAAATATTTATATTGAATATTCTAACACTATATTTTGATACTTAATCATATTTTGAATTTAAATGAGGACTTTAAGATGACAAATAATCTTTTTTAAAATGACAGATATTACTAATATAAAAAGAAAAAATAAAATAAAAAAAATAAAAAGAAGTGAGTTCAATATACTCACTATTCTTCGCTCAAGAAGTGGTAAC